GGAGGGAGGGGAGGAGCTGGTGGGGTTTTCAGAATTTGGCAGTGGAGGAGGCGTTGGTTTAAGAGAGCAAGAGAGAGAAGTGGTGGTGGAGGAGGAGGAGAAGGAGGAGGAGTGGTGTTTCTGGTTGTGGATGAGGGTGGAGAAGGGAGTGGTGGTGTTGAGATAGTGTGGGGTGCTGAGCGAGAATTCCATTATCTGCTTAGGACTATCAACTGGAAGTGCATTTTTCGAATGTTAACACCAATGTTTCTTTTGGGAGCGAAGTGTAGCGCTCAGTACAGACACAAGGCAAAAAGTCACATTCACTTGCCAGTAAAAAAAAAAAAAAAACTTTCTTATTAAGAGGGGCAATACAATACTAAACTCATATACATTACACAAATGTGAGGACTCGATCTCAGGACCTTGGTTTGGGGAGCAATTGCTCTAAACTACTACACTAATGTGTCCTTTGCTTATGCCAGTAATTTTAAAATCGAGCAATTTAATGACACATTACAAATTCTGTCAAATTCCTTCTAATTGCATCAAAGCATAGGATCTAACAAATTTTGTAATGTTCCTTTGAATTGCTCAAATTAAAAAATACATGAATAAAATTGACAAAATTTAAACTATATGGACTAAAATGATAAAAAGCGGTAAATTAAAAGAACCAAAAATAACTTTTTGCCTAGATATGAACCCATAGCCCTCAGGGCTTGATAGGAATAGCACCACATATAATTTTTGTTATCAATTTAACTCCACTCCATGTGAGCAAACTTAGGGTTAGTTTGGTATTGATGTATTTCAAAAAAATAAAAAGTTTATGTTGTGCTACGAAAATAATTAGTTGTTAAATAAAGCAGTTAAATGTTTGGTAAAGTCTATTTGTAAAAAGGTTGTGAGGATAAAAGGTAGTGTCAAAGTGTTTGGTAAACTTTCATACACAAGTGCTGTGAGTGTGTATAATGACCAAATAAATGCATAATATTAAAAGTGTTATTTATTTACTGAAAAGGAAAAATCAATATCAATGCGTATACATGTTTTTTTAAAAGGAAATTTGCATAAATATAAAATGTTGAAATTTACCACTTACATCTAACCCCATTAAAAATTTCCGGTAAATCAAGTCATATACTGCATTTAAATGTTTATTTTCAAACTTATAGATATGTGATCATTTGAAGGGAATTTTTGTCAATCAATATAACTAAAAAAAATTTAACTTTTTAAAAACTAACCGAATTTAATTTTAAATGAAAAAATTAAATAGGAAAACTAACCTAATTATTTCACGACTTCCCCACCTCCTTCCAACACCAATTCTCACCCACCAAAATAAACATCTCTCTCAAATCGAGTTATTCTCCCACAACGGCTGAGGCCAATCTTCATCGTTCTTTTTTATTTCTTTCAAATTTTTGGTGTTAGTTGCATCTTAAAATTTCTTCATTCCACATCCCATTTCAACAATATGATGATAGATTGACCTTGCAAAAGCCTATATCTAAAGGAAAGGCGAACATAGCCATGCCACCATATTGAATACAAGTTTTGGTTTTTTTAGGTGTTGATTTTTCAATTTAAAAAATGTATTTGGAAATTATGTGGGCTCAATAACTTTTCTTTCTTTGTTTCTACTCTTCTAGATTTGAGAGGGGCTACTTGACATAATTCAGGTGGTTACTTGTAAAAATTAGAAGTTTAGGTGGTAATCTCGCACATGCCAAAAAGTTCAGATGGTATTTATGCAAAATTTCCTTTTTAAAAATATTTTATCTCATCAATATTTTTTTTATCTCATCAATTTATTTGATGAACATTACAACATATGAAACGGCAGCCAAAATTTTGTTAGACCGCTGCAATCGTTGTTTTCCCTTTTTTTTTTTTTTTTTTT